TATCACATATCAAATAAACAATTGATATCTACACTTTATTCTATTTTAACGACAAATTAAACCTTCTGCTTAGTACTTATATTATCTGTTTTCTTACAATATTTAAGCAATATTAAAGAACTGACCATAACAATATTCTGAAAAAACAAGTCCAGATAGCTGAAATCATCTTTTAAAAGTTTCGAATAGAAAAGTAATAGTAGAAGTATAGAAAATAGTATGTTATATATCATGGATAACGTCTCGATTTGTATTATTTTTTTTATGTATTATATTATACTATTATTAATAAAGTATATTTGTCTTAGCGTTTAATGAAATATATATTTATCTGTATATGACCAAAGGAGTGACAGTTTCTGATCACTAGTTAGGATATCAAGTGAAATTCTTGATCAGAGCTAGTTTTGTATCTAGAAAATCTTCTGAATTTTTTTCTTTAGAGCTGAAAAAAGAATAATATTATGCAATTTCGCAATAATAGCATAGTATTGATATGATATTTTTTTTCAGATCTAATAATAATATATATTATTTGATATGGTATTAATGCAGTAATTCTTTTGGACCTATCATGACGTATTTTTATCTAGCCAATAGGTCTTACTTTCACGTGATTTTAATCAGACTTGACTGAAATTTTTCAAATCTATTTGCATGATCTAAACCATATCAATATATATTAAAGTCATTTGATATAAGATGACTTAGTTTAGAAGAAAACACAACTTCAGATGGCCTACACCACCACTATTTGCAATATCCTTTTAAATCCAAAAATTAAACATATACAAGTTACTGAAACTGTTGTAAAATTGCAAATGAAAAAATATTGGTAAGTTTCGTAATTCTACAAATAAACTAAATTTTTAAATTTAAAAATATTACTTGCAAATAAGCTAAATATCTTAAATTTTTTGTTTATAGGAAACTTGATAATGATTTTATAAGTAATATCTCAACCAACTCATCCACCACCTCTAAAACTCTTACATTTCTGATCATATCACTGACAAAAATGATGACATTTGTATATATTATAATAATGATATCAATGAATACAATAATAACGAAGACAACAAAGACAACAAAGAATAATTAAATAATATAAGGCATCTTTAATTATTAAAATTATTTATTTTATTTAATGTTGCATAAGTTTACGTATTTCTGACTTATTTTATTTATCTTGTCATTTCAAAATTGATATTATGATACCAGTTTTTTTTTTCTTTTTTTTTGGAATTTTTTGGGGGTTTTTTTTTTTTTAAAAAAATACAATAACAAAATATTAATGTAGCTAATTAACAGGAAAGGACAAATTTACTTATTTAGCAAATTAAGACTATGCATTGCAAAACTGTCACAATACTATACCACATAAAATATTCAAAGTCCTACACATTGTAAACCTTTGAAGTATTACATATACGTAAATTTTTAATAGCCTCGTAACCTTACATAATATTATGGGACGTAAGCATTACATAATATTTTGTATTATTAAATTTACTGATGTAGTTTATTAAAAGTCTAGCAATATATATGGGAGACGGTTAGTAGAAAAAGGGAAATCCAAATTTTGGTCAAAATTTATATTATTAGACCACTTGGCTGATCTCAGTCATATGCATAAAATTAGCTTAATAATTAAAATTAATAAAAATTTTGGATTTTTCCCTTTTCTACTAATCGCCTTCCATATATTAAAATATAAATCTTACTTTCATGATTCTGAACAGAATTAGTTAATACTAACAGGTTTCCAGTATTCTAATTCTTGTAAAGTCTTTGTAAAAATGTGAAAATCTTTAACTATTTTAGGTTTTCACCATTTATTTTCATTAAAAATTTCTATATATTCTGCTTTTCCTTTATTAATTACAGGTGTTAATGAACTTTAATTTCTTGCAGTTATAACTCTTTATCAATTAAGTATTTAGCATACTTTATAAGATTATTTGCATAAAGTAATAAAGATTCTTTTAGCCAAGCAAATTTTGGTTTTCCTATGTATGATAATTTAATGTAATTTATCAAAATCTTATAATAATGTTGTAATTCTTCTGAATTAAATGATTTTCTTAAATTTTTGTATTTTTTAGAATGTATTTAATCAAAAAAAATTAGAAAATAAAGCCGAAATTTTAAATCTATCATTGAAACTTTTATAGGAATAAATATCAACATATCAAATAAACTTTGTCAAATTATTAATAAACTTTTTTCAATATTATTTGTATTATCTTTTCCTATTCAACCTTCTTTATTACTTCTAATTAATTCATTTAAATCTATTTGTAGTTGCTTTCAAAATATTTTTGCCAGTAATTTAAACTTTAAAAGATAATTAAATATTGATGCAAATCTTGTTAATTCAAATGTATTAACTGTATTCATAGCTGGTATATCATTAGAGTCATTAAGTAATTTAAATGTCACATATTTTTGCATTGATTAATAGTCTTTCATATATTACAATTTAATCCAATTTTTCTGTTTCACCTATTTTTGTATGACTAAAATATGCTATTCAATTTTTTTTCATAGTTCCAGCTTTAATTTATAAACTACTACATCTTTATTAAAAATGAAGCTGTAATTAATTTTAAAATTTTTAACTAGTTCCAACTTAAGTTGCAACTCATTAAGTTATAACTATTTATGAATTTTTATATTAAAACAAATTTTGCAAGAAGTTGCAATCAGTTGCAATCCAAGTTGCAACTTGATAAATTGTAACTTCTTAATTACAGTGTTATCTTTAATCTTTATAAAACTCTTTTATATTCATATCCTTATTAACAAAAAGTTTTTCTCATTCAAAAACTGTTTAAAATTAATATATAATTATTATCAGCATAATTTTTTTTAAAAAGAGATTTGTAGATCAATAAAACTGATTTAGTGATTTATTATTTATTTATATATTACAAAATATATTTGAATGATACAATATATAATATAAGATATATATAAAAAATTTTATTTATATAAAAAAAACTGGGCAGCCAGGTCAAATTTAAAATTTTATGTCATGAGAATCTAAATTTTTTTTTGTTCTAATCTAATCAATATATTTTTCAATTTTAGAAGTTTTTCATATAAATAATATTTATTAAACAATATAAAAATAAAGTTATAACAGCTATAAATTTTGTGATAAAAAGCTAAAAAAGAAAATTAAAGAATATACTTTAGATATTTGAAGAGATAAGTTTGATAAATAAATATAATTATTAATTTTATCTTTATAAAATAAAATGATGTTTTCTAATATTTTAATTGTATGATGATATTATAGGCCTGAATCATTTCTTATACATATATTTTTATAACTATTTTTTTAAAAATATTATATATAAATATATAAGTTATATCATTAGGTATTTAGCTAATTTGCTATTCATAAATATTATATAGGCAATGCCTTTGTGTATCTCATAATCATCTATCAGCATACTAACTTATAATATATTAAAATATACTTATAAGTACTGTATAACAGGGCCATAATACCCTGGGTATAATACAAATTTAGGGAGTTGAAGGCTATACCTGGGGTATATTATACAAGGAATACAGTAGGAATACTGTGTATAAGAGGGGTATAAGGTTTATAAAGTACCCAGGATATTTGCCATATATAATACCCAGACATATTTATATTTTAGAAGTAAGATAAATTACCCTATTGGGAAAAAAAGATTAATAAAAATCACATTTATCTGTTTCTTCCCCCTATTTTGTGTAATAAATCCTTATAAATAATAAACGCGCTTTTATTTCTTTATCTTTTATTTGTGATGCGAATTATTTTAAAGTAAAAATGGTTATTATTGGAAATAAAAAAATAAAAAAACACATAATCATTTATCACAAAAGAAAAGACGACAATGGAATGTAAGAGAAAAATTAATGGTAGTACATTTTTTGGAAAATAATGAAGGAAGTAAACGTGGAACTGCCAAATATTTTAATATTTAACCAAAACAAGTACGCGAATGAAATAACAATAAAGCAAAATTATTGGCATGTGCACCTCATATTCTTAAGCTTCATCTGGGTAAATCTGCTAAATATACAGATTTGGAAGATGAATTATATACATGAGTTTGTGATAGAAGAGTAAATCAAAATGCCGTTAGCTGAAAAATGATTACCAATAAAGCAATCATGCTATCTAAAAATCAGAATTTTTTGGCAAATACTCTGAATATCATTTCATTTAAATTTTCAAACAAATGGCTAAGTGGATTTTTAAGAAGATATAATCTTAGTGAGTGACGTAGAATAACAGTAGCACAACAATTACCACAAGACTTGCTTGAAAAACAAAATATTTTTTTAAGTTATGTTTTATATAGAAAGATTCAGCATGACTATCTGTTAAAATACATAGGTAATATGGATGAAACACCTTTATGGTTTGATTTACCAAATAATTCCACCATAGATTATAAAGGTATAAAAATGGTTAGCATTCGTATTACAGGTCACGAGCATTCATTTTTTACAGTTGTACTTGCATGTATGTTTGATGGTAGCAAACTTCCAGCAGTTTGTATTTTTAAGTTGAAAAATTTGCCGAGAAAATTTTCCTCATAGTATTCATATACGAGTAAATGAAAAAGGGTAGATGAATGAAAAAGAGATGCTATGGTAGACTGAAACTGTATAGATATCAAGAAATCCTTTTAGTAATCCACGTTCCTTATTGGTAATGAATTCTTTTCGCAGTTATATTGTAAATTCAGTTAAAAATCAATTAGTAGAAAAAACATAAATATTACTATAATTCCAGATGGTTACACATCAAAATTGCAACCATTAGACGTTGCAATTAATAAAAGCTTTAAAACTAAGGTAAACCAGTGTATAATTTTTAAGTTTAAATTTTTATTATTAATAATTTAAATATTTATTTAAATTCTTTAATTTTTTTATTAACAATTTGAAGATTAAAGAATGATATAATAATTGGGTGTCATCTACTATTCATGCTCTTACTCCAGCTGGAAGAATTAAAAAACCTTCCTATTCAACAGTTACAACATGGGTTAAGGAATCATAGAACGAAGTTGATAAAGATCTTATTAGAAGGTCATTTAAATGTTGCAGAATTTTAACGAATACCGATAGTTCAGATGATAAAGACTTATTTAATTATGATAAATTATTGGACATGCCGGAGGATGAAAATGAAGTAGATTTAGAAGATAATTCTGGTGATGAAGAATATATTGAAGAAAATGATTATGAAAATGAATGGGAAATTAGAATGGATAAAGGTAAAAATAATGAAATTAATTGTAGCGATGACAATAGTAAAGGGGAAAATAGAAATCAAAATTAAGATTATTTTTTTGATGAGAAATAACATCTTACATTAAAAGAATTAATGGAATGTATTATATTTTAGTAATATCACATAATAATAAATTCGTCAATGTATATTGAAAGCTTTACGTTAAAGCTAAAAAAATATTTTTGATCTTTAAAAAATATATATTGCAAATAACATCGTCAATTTTTTTATTAGCCAATCAAATTTATAGAGAAACCCGGATATTTTATAAATTTTGAAGATTAAAATCCGAACACCTCCATGTGAAATATCCGGGTATTTAATAAATCCATAAAAAAATTTGTATAGGGTACTGTGCATAAGGGGGTACTGTGGCCTGCAAAATACGGTATATGAATTATATCATTAGATATTTGGTTATTTTGCTATTAATAAATACTAGGTTTAATTATAAACAATATCTTTGTATACCTTATAATTATCTGTCAGTATATTACTCATAAATACTTTAGTAATTCTGATTTTTAAAAAAAAATAAATTCAAATTTATATTTATTATAATATTTAGTAACTTATACTTTTTTATTATATAATTTTTATTTATATAAGAAACATTATCAAAAAAGCTTATAATTATAAAAAAAAATAAGGTAAATAATCCAAAATTTAAATAAGATTATATAATTCTGAATTTAATTAAATTTTTTAATTTTGCGTAATTTATTTGAATAATAAGAAAATATTAATATTTTCAATTAAATATAAATAATATAATTTAGAATTATATAAGAAAAATTATAAATTTTATATTATATTTTTTATTAGAATAATACAATTAAAAATTATTCTAAAAAAACAAGAAAAATATTAAATGAATTTTAGCTTGATCTTGCTAAAATTAAATATAATACTTTAATAGTATAGAAAATTCTAGATATTTATTGAGTAGATTTTAGTTTTGAAAAGTTTTCTATGAAAAGTTAATTAAAACATCAAACTTTTCAAATAAAGCAAATGATATGATAAATAATTTATTCAAATATATTGTAAACTGATTTATAAAGTGATTTGCAAAACTGATCTATAATAAGATTTGCAGATTGATCAACAAAACGATTTGCAGGATTGATTTACAAATTGATCTTATATATATTACATGATATTCTTAACAATGTTGATATAATTGATATTAATGATATTATTGACATTGTTGACATAATAAATTTTAATAACATTGTTGATATAATTAGCATAATAGATATAATTTGTTTATTTAATATATTTAATTTGTTGTTACAATTAACTCTTTCTATAATCATACATTTGGGACACACTATATAAAGTGACTATAAAGAAATGTGACTCTATGCAAAAAGTTTTTTTTAGTCATATACATTTTAATAATAAATACATAAATGTGATTATAGTTGAACTTTATTATAATGAATCTTCATTTCTAGAGGTCAAAATTAATTATATGAGAAAATTTGGTAATATTTTACTGAATTTTAACAATTTATTCATTATATAGTAATATAAATATCATATTCAATCAGATTTTAATAATAAATATCTTAAGAAAAATGTTAATTTTAAAGCAATATTATTTAATAAATCAATTATTAAAAAAAATTCTTTCTCAAACTACTTAAAAATAAACGAAAAAGATCAACAAAAGAAAATAATGCCCATTACTCATTCAACTCTTACTAAAAAATAAAATTAATGAACAAACAATAAAAACAAACAGACTAACTCTTCTAATGATAGTGAAACTTCTAACTTTTTCTCTCAAACTTTTGAAAGCAACGAAAATATTTCTATTCTCCAAAAACAAAAAAACTACTCCCTTACCAAACGAACTAAAAACTGAAACGCATATTCACAATATTATCAAAAATATAGTTTTAGGCAATAATATCTCATCCAATATGACTTTATCACCTGTAGACAACTCCTTTGATATTGTTCCACCTAGAGTTCCGCAATTCGATTTGATATTTAAATATTTGATTTGAAAATTAAATCAAATACAAATACAAATTTATATTTGATTTGATTCGATCAAATTCAAATCAACTATTCAAATATTTGATTTGATTTAAATCAATAGTAAAACTATTTTCAAAGCTTCAGAGATGGTATTAACTAAGAAAATCATAGTAAAAAATGGCTCTGCAACTTCAGAAATGCTTTTTAATTAAGTAAAACATAGTAAAAAATGCCTCTGCAGCTTCAAAAATGCTTTTTTTACTAAGTAAAACATAGTAAAAAACGGCTTCGCGGCTTCGAAAATGCTTTTTTACTAAGTAAACATAGTATAAAATGCCTTCGCGGCTTTGGAGATATTTTTTTTTACTAAGAAAACATAGTAAAAAAAGCATTTTTAAAGTTGCGGAGACGTTTTTTTACTAAGAAAACATACAGTCAAACTTCTATATAACAATACAGCTGTTTTGAGAAAAAAATATCGGTATATCAAGTTATCGATATATTAAGAAAAATTTTATATACCGATATTACTATAATTTGTTGATCAATATCAGTATAAAATAATAAACCAATCAGATTTCAATAATAAAAATCTTAAGAAAAATGTCAATTTGAAAGCAATATTAAAAAAGAAATTAATTATTAATTTTAAAATATTATCATACTATATCATCCACAATTTTATTCTCTTTCTAACGAATATTTAAACATAGCAATTAAATAAAATTTGAGTTAGTTTTATTAGAGACAAAAGTGTCTTTGAATTTTACGAAATGCACATAAAAAAAATACATTTTTCCACCACGCCTCTGACTACCACCCCTACGGACCTGCTTTATTATATAGTTTTTTTCTTTTGTTTTGTGCACACGTTTTTTTTGTTTTGATTTTAAAAATGTCGTAAACATATGATCGCATACAAACATCACTTAAGTTCGTGATGTATTCATGCTTGCATAATATAAAAATATACAAATGTTGTTATTATTTTTTTATTTTTATCATTATTATGATTATATTTTTTTTTATTATTATTAATATTAATATTTTTATTTTTTTATAAGAGTTGTCTTTTTTTTGCGTATGTTAAAACAACTCTTTTCTTTGTTGAATTTCTTTTTATCTGTAGTTGAGATATG